ATGATGGATCAGCCTGGGACAGTCGGCACCTAGGAGAGGAGGGGTGGGGACGGCGGTGACCTCGGCTCCGGGCGACCCTGCACCCCGTTCTCAGCCGTCTGGGTCCCTCCCCGCACCTTTCTGCTCCCTGCCGGCACCTCACTTCTCTGGACACATCTCCCCTGACCCCACAATTCTTCTGCAGTTGTGGCTACCAGGAGCCTTTGTCTTTTTCTCATTTTATTTAGCAATTTTGGCCATTTATCTTTTCTTCATTTTGTTTGCGTGTGTACGCACAAGCTTGTGTGGGTGTCCTTTTTTCCCCTTCAACTACAGCATTATGAAAAATGAAGACAAGCTCTTCCATCTTTTTAGGCTTTTATATCGAAGCAATAAAGTGGCCCCTAATGGACTCACCGTGAGGAGAGCGGATGCTGAGCACACATGGCTCTGTAACAGGCAGTCGGCGGCGAGGGTTCCTAATGGGATTTGTACCTTGGTTATTGGTACAATTAATAATATTGATTTGTGCAGACTCCTGAGCTCTCTAGTTAGCCACAGGGTTGTTGAAACTCAACAAATAAAATCACACCCAAGGAACAGCGGAGGTGTTCTCACGGCCTGAAAGCTCACTGTGGGGGACCAACCTCACCATGCAGCTCAGTGGCTCGCTGGAGAACTGGACTCCAGCCCGCATCTTGGGACGTTCCGTGCAAGATGTAGAGTCCCTCTGGGCTAACCTGGAACACTGGTCACTGCTCAGGAACCCTGCTCTGTGCCCGGGGTTCTCCTCTCGACCCTCTGGGTGACTGGGCTTATTATTTTTTTCCCAAAAATATGTATTTATTTAAAGGTAGTGTGTCAGAAATCTCCCATCTACTGGTTCAGTCCCAAGCCATGTGGGTGGCAGGAGCCCAAGCATTCAGACCAGCAGTTTTTGTCATCGCAGGCACATCACAGGGCGGCTGCCATCAGAAGTGAAGCCAGGGACTTGAACCAGCACCCCCATTTGAGAAGCACACGCCACCGTGAAATACAGAATAATCACCAAGCGTCAAAACTTGCCTTGGTGTCAGCACACACACAGTTTCCTGCAGGCCGTTTCTACAACCTACACCTGGCCATCAAGCACTCTCATCTCCCATAACACCCCCAGACAGCAGCCAAGGAACACAGAGAGAAAACGCTCAGGGACCCTGACAGTTGGGTACGGACGGTCACACCTGAAACAGGAAGTCACAATTCCAAAGCAGCATTTCCGACGGGATGGTATTCAGCACGACGGCTTGGACGGAAGTTTGTTTTTTGCATATAACGTTTGATGCGGTAGCAAACCATTTGGTTGACAGAGTGTTGCATTCTTAGCTCATTCAGAAAAAGAAAGAAAACACACAAAATCTAGCTGCCAAGTGTTCCTGTTTATATGCAAACAAGGCATGTCAAGGCATGATGTGGCCCTACCACTTGAGTAGCTCCTGGCAACCTTAATGTTGACAGTATACCATTGGCGCACTGTCTGTGCCTTACCAATGTGTATGAATTTGCAATCTCTCTTCACGACCCCACAATCATCTTTGAATCTTTGGTTAGTGGAGTGCAGGTCTGCTTGCCTGCCCGTGGTAAATTTCCACATTTTCATCCAGGCTGCCTGCAACACGAAATAAGAGCAGCCCCGCGGCTGGGAGGCAGTAACCCCTGAGATTAGCCCAGCACCCCTGCGACCGCTTCTCCAGAGGTGGTCTTTGCATCCCTGCGACCGCTTCCTGGAAGAGTCTGAAAAGGTGCTCTGAAAATAAAAAAATCGAAATGACTGCAGGCCTGATTAAAATCCTAGCAAAGTGACTCATCTTGACAAGGTGTTAGCTGTGACTTCTCTCTCACCAGCTCCATCAGTGCTGCAAAGCTAAGTGGTAACAGTCCTGCTGGCAGATCAAGAAGGCCAGCGACGCTCGGCTCCCTAACCAACACTGACATTTTCAGAGCAGAATCATGGTTTTGCTAGCATTAAAAGCCACGTAATGGCAACATGGAAAAGGCCCTGCACTGTATTTTCTAATTTCCTATCTCAATGGAAATCTGCTTCTTGAATTCTAACGGAAGAACATTTGGCCAACAACGTTGAGCTTACTTAGGTCTCACAGGCTCTAAGTCTAGTTGCTTCCGGAAAAACAAAGCTTAGCTGTTCTGCGTGTGCACATAAAACATCCCTGCTTGTTTGGGGGTGTGGTCACTTGCTTCTTCCTCTTCAATGGGATCATTCTTTCACTATCTAGAAACGAAGACTGGTTTCTGGCACAGGGCTGTTGTGGTACATCATACAACATTGTTCTTCTTAACACTGATGTGTTAAGACCCCTAACCCTATTTCTCCACCTTGAGAACATACGTATCAGGGGCTGGTGTTGTGACATAGCAGTGAAAGCCGCCACCCGTGTGTCGGTTTAAGTCCCAGTTGCTCCGTTAGCAATCCAGCTCGCTGTCAGTGAGCCTGGGAGGACAGTGGCGGGCAGCTGCCTTGCATCCACGTGGGACGAAGCTCCTGGCTCCTGGCTTCAGTTTGGCCTGACCTTGAATATTGCAGTCACTTGGGAAGTGAACCAGCAAGGTGAAAGATACTGCTTTTGTCTCTGTTAACGCTTTCAAATAAATAAGTGAGTAAATTTTCAACACAAACACATATATCAGGTATCAGAATGAAGCGAATACATGCTGTAAAGCTGTACACACTCGCCCCAAATCTGGCTATGAAGATTTTACTGATACGATTGAACAGATGCAAGTATTAGTAAAAGGAAAAATGAACCACATGCCATTTTCAGTGTATTGAATTAATTTTTATTAAAGATCTGAACACAGGGTTAGGATGCAGGAGTTCCTGATTTTGTTTTTAAGGTTTATTTTCACCTGCTTTTGAAAGGCAGGGGTGAGGGGGAAAGAGAAACAGAGAGGAAGCATTGGTCCACTCAGTCCCGCAGTGTGTGCAACGGCGAGCGTGGGCCAGGCTGCGGCCAGGAGCCCAGAGCGCCGGGGTCCGAGGACTCAGGCCTTCACCTGCTCCTCCCAGGCCGTGGCAGCAGGAAGCTGGATTGCAAGTGGAGAAGTAAGGACTCAATCAGCAATGTGGTGTGGGAGGGGCATCGCAAGAGGACGCCTAACCTCCGTGCCTCCTGCCTTTCAGTAAAAAGGAATCCCACATACAGTAAAGAATGTTAAAAGTGAAGATGTACACACAAGTAGCAAGTGAAAAGAAAAGCGACAGTTTTGTCCCCAAAGTATATTCTCTCAGAGATACACTACCAATAGCTTGGGCTACAGGCTTGAAAAGCTGAGCTGGTGTCAGTGGCGGCAGGGATGCCGGGCGAGCACAGTTCTCACATCCGCTGGTGGGAAGAACACGGATGTACTGCTTGGGAAAACGCAAGCGAAACAAACAGAGGTATGGAGAGGAGCTCTCTTTTTCATGACCCAGAAATTCTACTCCCAGGACATGCTTCTATACAGCAGACACATTGAAGAATTTTCTTATTGAGCTGATTAGACTAAAACATCAATGCCTATCCACATAGAATGGATACATAATGGCGATGTGTTCACCCAATGGCAGAGAACGTGTGTAAAGTCCTGTACAGCACTGCCCAGTGGAAACAGCTAGATCCTGGAATGAGGTCCACGGCAAACCGAGCGTGGCCCCTGGGGTGGCTGCGGGGCAGTGCCCGCATCCCACATCGGGGGGCCTGGGTTCTCAGTCCCATTGCCAGCCTCTGGCTTCCGTGTACCTTGGCAGGGCGGCAGGTGTTGGCGGCCCCCGCTCTGCACACGGGAGGTGCCTGGCTTCAGTCTGGCCTGGGTGCAGGTCTTTGGGCAGTGACCAGCAACGGAAGATGTCTGCATATCTTTTTCTCTGCTTTACAAATAAAATCAATCCATTTTAAAAGTTCAAAACCAGACACAGCTGCTGTTTGATGTCAGAAAACAGGAGAAAAGCCTTGGACTCCTGCACCCACATGGGAGATCCAGAAGCTCCTGGTTCTTGACTTGGGATCGGCTCAGCCCTGGCTGCTGAAGTTACTTGGGGAGTGAACCAGCAGACGGAAGATCTTTCTCTCTGTAAGTCCTTCTCTCTGTAAATCTGCCTTTTCAATAAAACAATAATAATAATGGGCAGCAGCAGAGTCTGGAGGGAGGCACGGGCGAGGGTTTCTGGAGTGTGGACAGTGCCTCGAGCTTCTGCATCTGAGGGCTGTAGCCTTAGGGAAACGGATTGAGCTATACCCGAGAGCCATGGCGGTTTCTGCGCGTGCTCTACTCGCACAATAGCGAACCACCCACTGTTATGGAGTGGTGGTTTTAGCTCAGAAGGGATTACTGAGGTGGCTTACGCAACCCTCCGAGTACCAGCTCTTTGTTAAGGCCGAGCTGGATGTAGTGCACAGGTGTTCTGTCAACGCAGTTACATGGGGTAAGCTTTTATGCTCCCTGTGTGGAGAAAGGAAAGCAGCATCACACACAGGGGTGGGGTGGGGACCTTGTCCAGACTCTCAATCCACACAGGTGCTACACTGAGAGTCAAACTCCCTCTGGTCTCAGGCGCGTTCACGTCAACAGGCAGCCCCAGAGCAGAGGGGTGCTTCCGCAGGCACCGGGCAGCATGTGGGAGCTGTGGACCAAGGGCCACACTGGGTGTCTTACTCACCCCCACGGACTGTTAGCCAAAACATTTGCCACCAGGAACCAAGGCACCTGGCCGCTGTTTCTGGAGGTGGCGGTGGGGCACAGCAGCACTCCCTCTGGCTGGTGGCTTGCAGTCCTGCCCCAGCAAGCTGCCCCCCCAACCCACAATGAGGTGCAGGGTCAGATACAGACGCTGGGGAGGCTGCATCTGCCAACACCAGCACGTGCTGCCCTCCTGGCCCCAGGGCTTGGAGAGTCTGAACGCCAGTGTGGAATGACTGGAGGGGACCTGCTTAGGTGTGGCGAATGGCAGCACAGGACACCACTTGCAAGGCAGACCCAGGCATTTGTAAACATAGCATTTTATTAACAAAATGTTTACACCCTTCTTACAACAAAGTGTATAGTGATTCAGCATGTAACGCTATAAAAGCACAGGATACTCAAGCTAAAACAATCTTGTTGAAAAGGAAGACAAATCAACCTGTATTTGCAAACTACCCACTACTGGCATAAGGACAAGAAAAATCGTACAACAAAAACTCTCACAGGTCTAGCTTTGTTTCATCAGTGTCTCTAAACAATACAGACATCATACAGTTTACACAGACTTAGGTCCAGCCCAAGGTTAAGACTGCAAAAATAAAGTCTTCAAACACCCACGTGAGCCTGGGGAACCGGCAGGACAGGAAACCGGGCCCTGCAGCCAAGCCTCGGCGCTAGGCAACAGCCAACTGCCAGGCTACCACGCAGCCACACTTGTAAGCAACTTCATCTTACTTTCCCATGATTGACACTATTAGAAAAAGGCACAAAAATCTCACTCCTTGCATCAGGTCTTAGAAAGGCAAGACATTTTTACAAGAAATGAGACTTGCTGGTACGACGGCTTAGCTTTTTGTTTACTCTGCTTAGAAACATCTAGATTTTTCTCCACGGCTGTTTTTCTGGACTTGAACACCTTTGAACAGATGCTCTGCCACCAGCTCCCCAAGTTCTGACAAGCACCTGTGTTGTCACTTGCAGGGTTGCTGCTGCCCAGGGTCCTCACCTCCAACCGGCTCTGTCAGCATGTGCCACACCCTCCACTCCAGCAGCCTGGGGTGGGCCAGCCCTGCCTCTGACCATGAAAGGCCACAGAAGGCCTGTCATGTGCTGAAAAGGTGACCCGGGGGGCTGGAGGGATGGGGAGCTATGCAACTCCTAGGGAGAGCCCTCAGCCAAATGAAAATAAGGGAAATAAAGCAGGGGGCTTTGGTCACTGAGCAGGCAAGGCGTAAATTCCTCAGAAGGTCAGAGGAATGATTGACGATTACGTGAGTGGCCCATAAAGTGGAATGATGGAAAGACTGAGTTGGATGAGTTAAAAAAAAAAATCTTTGCCAGGGCAATAAAGTTCTGTCTACACAGTACAACAAATGGTTTAAAAATAGAGCCACTCATCAGCGGCTCTGACTAGCGGCCACCTGCTAATCATGTCCCCCACATTTAATCAACTGGTCCTTCAGATGTCGTGTGTGTGAGCTATATCATTAAACTTTCACAAACTCTGCAGCAACTTCATATAGGAACCAAGTGGAGGTTTCAAGATTTTTTTCAGATTCAAATACGGTGTAAAATAAGGAATGGTCACCAAGCCAAGTGGAGCACTGCCATAGGTCTCGGCCGAGGACTGCCTGTGACGGAGGGCCCCTGCCAGCCGGGCGGCCAGGGAGCTCTGGAGGAACAGGTGTGCCCAGCTCGCAATGACAGGAGCTGCGGTGTTCAGGAATTTCCTCGACAAGTGCAGTTCACTCCCACTTACAAAATGCTCATTTCATGAAGACAGTTTCTCCCCAATCCCACATTAAAACATTTGTCTCCTGAAGCAGTGGAAAGTTCTTAGATGAAGTGGTGTCAGTCACACTGCTTGTCTCTGCTGCAGACCCCAGAGAGCAGTAAGGGCCACAGTTTAAAGCTGTCAATTAAAGAAGCTCGTTCAAACAGTCGTTACTATCTTAGCACTTCCATTAATTGGCTGAGAGAACTTGGCACTGGCAATCCCCTTCCATGGAAAGCTACCCACGACTTTGTTTGTTGCTGCAATTATGAAGCCCCTGATGAGGCACTGGGTACCAGACAGATTTTTAAATAACCTTGCAGCTAAATAATAATAAAAAAACTATTTGTTAGACACCACAGTTTTAATTTTACTATTTGCTGATAATATAATCTTACTATCTACAATGTTCACCATAAGAAAAGCAATAGATGGAAGGTCTGAGATTTCTTAATTGAACTTATGAATTCTTTTGTTTTGAAGCTATATGTATGATTAAATTCTGAGATGAAAGAACAGGTCTTAGTTATCTCTGACAGTACAGATCATCACACTAAACTTTACCTATACCACCAGAAGTCCTTCCAGCTTTGCAGTGTAAATCCTATGTTACGAGAACCCTGAAGGACAGTGGGCAATATGGAGGCTCTGCATTCTATTTATTCACTTTCCTTATGTTTAATGAAACTTCAACACAACAGGTCTCTTACTTATCATTCTCGTAGATGGAGGCTCCTCAAAAATATAATACCCTTCTAATATTTTTTAAGACTTTCATTTGCACATAAGACAGGACAAATGCCCCAGAATTTCATTAACGTTTGTTGCAAACCAGCCAATCAAACTGGCTGACTCGCATTCCCGGGAGTCAGGCTCAGCTCCTTTGCTGTCAGAAGTCTGCAGGGTTGTTTCTGGGGGGCCTGCCTGCGTTTCTCCCCACCCCTCCTGGTCTTTCTGAAGCCATACACAATCAGGTGTAGCTCTCAGATCATTTGTTGCTTGGGCTTTTTTTTTTTTTTTAAATCATCGTATACCCCAGGAGCTAAGACAACTCTCCCATATGCTGCCTCCAAGGGCTTATTGTTCCTGGTGAGCCAAGAACTGAAGGCAGGGCTGTACTGAACAGCTCACTGCTTGAACGCAGAGCCCATGTCTTCATTTAAAAATATTACCCAAGCGGTCCATCTCTTGCAGCCAGTAAGCAAAAGCTGTGCTACTGCTAGTTCCTTTAAAGAGCTCACAAGACGCAGGCGGTGGCAGGCTGGCACTGTCACCAACTCCCCACGTGGACTCAGGAGGAACGTCAGCAGCCGGGGAGGCCTCCTGGTGTCCGGAAGCTGGTGTTTACCGCCTCCCTCGCTTGCTAAACCACTGACCAAGGCCCCATCTGTTACATGCATAACATACTGCGTGCCTCTGGCTTATCCTGCAAGGCCCCTGAACCAGAGTGGTAGTGTGCTGAAAGGAACTGATGTAACGTCGCGTGCAGTTCACTCGCAGGACACAGCAGAGGAACAGCACCAAGTTCAGAGCCTGGGAAGCATGTCTGCTTTAACACGATGCCACCAGCATGTGCAATCGGCCCTGGCAGTGACAGGAAAGCCATGGACCGGTTAGCTAGGAATTTCACGACTAGCTCCAGGGTTTAAATTAGAAGAACTCCTATACCTATCTTTCTTCCTTGAGAGCAGAAATGAAATGAGAGACAAGGGGAGGTCTGGGATTCAGTATGTTTTTTTTTTTCTTTTTCCTTTTCTTCCTCTTCTTATGTAATTAAAAATAAAAACGGACAGCCTTAAGAAATACACTGGCCCGCTGAAGGCACTCGGCCTCTGCACCTCTCGGGGCAGGTGGCTTCCAGGCGCCAGGGCACAGCGGGAGCAGTACCAGCGGGCAGCAGGGCAGTCCGGGACTGAGCAGCAAGCGCATCGCTGCGCCTGACCGTGGCTGACGGAAGGGCTCGCGGCAGGTCCTCCTCCGGCCCGTCACTTAGCAGAGTTTAAAATGAAGGACACTTAGTCATACACCTACTTTATGTTCCTTTAATGATCCAGTGATAGTTAAGTAGTTATCACAGGATCAGAAAAACACTTATGTGAGAGGGGAGGCCCGGGGAACAACAGTTTCTAGGACTGGACATCTGCAAAGAGCTTACTTCACTTTCTCTGAAAGAAGTCGATACACACTGCGGCCAAGTAGGATTTTTTCCGTCTGTTTGGTCACCACATCTTAAGGGAATCAAGAGTTCTGTAGATGGGCTGTGACTCAACTCCTTGGAAATCTAGTCATTTCTTGTAAGAAATAATAAAGAAAATATGAAATGTGCATTAGATCATGGCTTAGCATGGTCGATACTTCAAAGCATGGCGTCTTACTTTAATACGAATCTTTGCATTCTGAAAGTGAACATCCATTCACACTGCATATGGATTCTGGATCTGACAGCCACTTGCTGCTGCTGGTGAGCATTGAAAACATACAACGTGAGGAATGATACCATGCCAGTTTCTTAAACAGACTGACAAGGAGGAGGGGGAAGGGGCCCAGAGATGCCCAGGCACAAGGCCCTCACTATGCATTCTTTGTATATGAGACACTGGGGGTGGGCAACAGAGTGGACCCACACTCCAGGCTTGGGAGGAATTTGAGAAATCACAGATGGAGACCAGCTGCAAGAGGCCGGAAACAGGCCACACTGGGCGACACACAGCAAGGTTTCAGGGTGAGGGTAAAAGGCACACTGAAGTTGGCCAGCAAGAACAAGTCCAGAAGAGGGGACTGTGCCTGACCCTGCCCAGCGAGAGCCACGTAATCGCCCACTGCGGGAAGCTCATCGCTTTGTGTCATCTTTGGGTGACACAGACAAAAAGGACCACAAACACATGGTCTCCTTGGTAATGAGCCCAGCCGTCCTCCGCTTTTATTTTGTTGTCATGGAGGTGGAGGCTCTGCAGCTGGAATATCGGAGCCCTGCCAGGGAGGTGGCTGCGTGCCCTGGGTCCACTGTGGATGCATGTAAATAAGGTCCAACCACCTCAGGTGTAAATAGTCCAGCCCTGGAAATGACATGTTTTCTCTAGCAGCTTGCTAATTTAACACTGGGTGGGAAGGGGAATGCTAGGGGGATGGCGAGCCCACATGTATCCAAAATGAAACATACATTCTTTGTATATGTCAATAAAAGAATAAAATAATTGCAAATGCTTCAGCTACAGAAAAGAGAAAAAGGATTTTCTTTTTACTTAATCTGAGTTATGATTTTCTCATTATAATCTAGCCACTTCAAATGGGGGGGCACCTAGAAACACCAATTATTTTTAAAAGTTTCTACTGTTCAGTTTAAGGATACTCTGAAAACACAATTTTGTCTGAAATTCAAGTTGTTTCATTTCCTATTTAATCTTGTAAATTTCCTTCTCTAACAATACTCAGGTTGAAAGGGTGCCAAATTAGACCAGGAACAAATTTTCACCAACCTCACTTCAGTGCCTTATTTTTAGATTATATTAAAAACCTCATTAGGCTCCCTGAGGGAAAAAGAGTGTTAACCGCTAACAGAGGCTGTGCAAAATAAAGGAAAGAGAAGGATAAGCTAGACTGTTAGCAAGGAAAGGTCTCTTAAGACACTTGGGCTGAGGCTGCTGTGAAAGCTAAAAAGAAACTTATTACCAAGACCAGGCCAATGACTTGAGCTTCGGGGAGCTTGGGGTGTCATCTTTCCCCCAGGCTAGGGAGGACCAGCTGGCTTGTCCAAGTGGCCTATGTCTTTACCACGACTTCCAGGAGGGACTGGCAGGGGACAGCAGTGGGTGGAAGGAGGGCAGAGAATTCTCCTGAGGACTGTGAGCTAAGTGCCGTGTGCCTCAGCACCCCACTCATGGTGTTGCAGGGTCTCCCACGGGCAGGCTGGAGAATGGGTGGGCACACGTGACACTGGGGCAAGACTAAATGGAGGGCTCAATGAAACTCAGAATTTATTAATGTATTTACATAATTTCTCACCTGTAAGAAACGGTCTCATAAATATAGACAACAACTTTACATATGCTAAGCAAGAGAGCTGTTTCCCCACCAAAATGCTTGTGTTAAATAAAATAAAATCGACAGCATTTACACCCCTGTCTTTACTCTCCCTCCTTCCTCTTTTCAAAACCACTGGTAGGCATTTCAGAACACACATCACTGAACCTATTCCAGAAAGCTTAGCCCTACCACCTCGGGACGACACCTTGTCTCTAAGGTGACACCGTGGTGCTGGGCCAGCAGCACACAAGGGCCGAGTGAGGCATGCGCCAAGCGCAGCTAATTCACTGCGGGGTTCGGAGCCTCCCACGGTCAGTAAGAAGTACTTCAGAGACGGCAGGGATGAAATTGTTTCCATTTTATAAATAACCCATTTTAGCTGCAAATAATAACTGCCATCCCTCCATTTACCACACCCTACCCACATTTTGAATGACACAACTCCTTCCAGCAGTGGTAATGGGAAACGTAAGGGGATTACAATCTCCACCAGGTCTCTTTCCCTCTAGAACCTTGAAAAGTGCTAATTTTCCCTTTACAAATGTTACATAAAAATCTTGATTACAAAACTACTCAACAATTTAATCCTACATCCGTATAATTATATGCTCCTTGTCAGCGAGGTCAAAAGCCAAGGTGCGTTCTCTCTGTACACAGCAGGCCTGCGTGGCCCCCAGGTCCACAGCCTGCACGCTGCTGTTGAGGTTTTCTCACACAACACAGCTGTTCCATGTCTGCAGCCAACCAGATGAAAACTGGGGCAGGGCCCCCCGGCCTGTGAACTTGCAGGACCACGCACTTCATCCTCAAGTCGGAGCGGCCCCTGCAGTCAACAGCAGCTGCGCCTGGGCTCCGAAGGCTGCCTGCGCAGTTTGAAGCCCTTGCTGCCGGGTGTCGGGTTCGCGTCACTGGAGGGAATTCTTCGACCTAAACAAAAATGGAAGGGTGGTGGAGGCAGGAGAAATGAACTTTAATTTTTCAAATCTTTTTGTTCTCATCCAATAATCTTTTTCAGATGCAATTTGACAGGTTTCATGTAAGTTTTTTTTTTTAAAGAAAACCTAGTTAATATTTTACTTTGAAATACATTTTAAGTTCACAAAGAAGCATTGCAGAGACCCTGCAGAGAGCTTCTACCCCTTTCCCGATCTCCCTAAGCGCTGGGATCCTACACGAGCATCCACAGGGCTATCTGTTGCAACGAACAACACTCCACACTGCACCTAACTCCAGACCACTGTCAGAGGTAACGGTTCTCCCATGTTGCTGTTTCTGTCTCAGAATCCAAACAAACATGGGCATCCTACTCTGTGTGGCCCAAGTTTTTTAATTAAAAAAAAAAATCCATACTGAGAATATTTGAAGTAACTGATACACAGCTCAGGATGGCACCAGATCATCTGTGAGGGGCCTCCAGCCCATCCCACCTCTCCCTGCAGGCAGACAGCACGCCCTCTTACCCTGCCTGCTGCTGTCACTCAGTGTGCCTCGGGGACCGCGCCATCATAGTACATTGAGAGCTGCTTGCTGTTTAGTAGCTCGAAAATGCCATCCGATGTAGATGTACTGTAATTTATTTAACCACTCCTTTATTGATGGATACTGAGAGCCACGGCAGAGTGCAGGATGAACACGTGCAGTCAAGGAGTGGGGTCACGGGCTGCCTCTCCTGGGCTCTGAGCCACGTGTGCACTTCCACGGCCACCAGGCACACATGCAAGGAGGACATGCAATTTCACTTTTGACAGATGCTGCCAAGTTGCTCCCTGAGGACGCTCTGGCACTTTCTTCTCCCACCATCAACGCATGACAATGAACAGGTTTCACTTTACTGCTCAGCAAAGCACAATGCCAATTTTGAGAGAAATCTTCATCACCTGTCCACCTCCCTGGCTGACGACTCGAGGGCCTGCTCTTGCCACAGGCTCTCCCGCTGCCCTCCCATGCCCTCTGCCCCAGCACCTCAGATACCACAGTATGTGAGTCGGGATCCCAGAGGCGCACTGTCACGCTGGCTCTGGCAGGGCAGGGACCTGCCTCTGTCTAGGATTTCCATATCGACATAGCACAGAGCTTTTCTGTAAACACAGGGAGGGCACAGATACCGGACACTGACCATGGCAAAATGTCTGCCAGCTTCCAGCGCCATGGCTGCACATCAGCTGCCCACTAAGGCGGCCTGTGTAGGTGCACACATGATCCACGGGCTCCTCAGGACGGAGCGCGGGGCTCCCCAGGACGAACACAGCTGCTCGTCGGAGGCTGACAGCTGACTTGTGAGAAAAGATGACAAGTTTATCGCAGAGCTTCTTGTCGTTATGGACTTTGCCAGAGCAGCAAACTGAAATACAGCTGGTGTCTCTGAGGCACTGGCAGGTATGACATGTAACCAATTTTAAAACGAACAGTATTTTTAAAAGAAAGCAGAGAAAAACATTTTTGTGACTTGGTCAAGATTTCTTAAATAGCAACCAAAACTCTTTATGCTAACCATCAAAGAGGATGATGATGAACACGGTGTGCTAACATTAAAACTTCACCGAGGAATTGACTGAGAGATGGGAGTCAAGCTACCAAGCATAATATGCATGAATACCCAGTACCCGTATTTAACACAGGACTCACGTCCCAACAGAGAACTATCCAACACGAAGAAGGAGCGTGACCCCCAAGGCAAGCAGGCTCAACACTTCACAGGACTTTAATAGCAAAATATCCAGAAATCGCGAGATACAGGTAAGCACCTGGAAAGGCGTGCGGCTGCCTTGACTGCCACAGAAACGCAGCCCACGCCTAGCCTGCCCTGGGAGAGAGGCAGGGACTGAATCCTCCTGCGCCACAGTGTGGGAGCCACTGCTGCGACCAGCACTACGGAACCTGCTGCAGTGAAGCTGGCCCGCACACATGCATACTCCATGACACCGCGAGCCTCCCTCTGGGCAGGAATGTCCTTAACCAGCTCCGTGCAGACATCCACCAAAGGCTATGAGCAGAACGTGCACAGTCCTGCCTGTTGACGGCTCTCAATCGGAAACAACTGCCTAAATGCCACCAACAGCAGAAGGGATCATCACCGCAGCTCTTCTTGCACCCCTCCCCATCTCAGACGCTGCTGTGGACACACATACCTGGCCACGGGGCACCTCATTTACAGCTGCCCTCAACCTGACAGATGACCTGAAAACGTGACCCAGAACAGAAGAAGCCAGGTGCATAAGAGCAAATAGAACACGTTTTAGAACATGTTTAGAACAGCAAGCAGAGGAGGCGGCCTTCTGGCCTGGTGAGTAGCATGCTGGTTAGGACACCCGTGTTCCACACTGCAGTGCTGGCTTCAGGCCCTGGCTTTGACTTCCTCCTTCAGCTTCTTGTTAGTGCAGATCCTGCCAGGCAGCAGGGGATGGCTCAAGCAGCTGGGTTCTTGCCACTGGTGTGGGAAACCAAAGCTGAAGATCTGGCTGCTGGCTACAGCCAAGCCTCGCCCTGGCTGTGACAGCAAACAGAGGGGGCCCGCAGCCAACAGTTCTCTCTTTAGCCCGCCCATCTCTCCGATAAAATAAATAAATAAATAAATAAATAAAGGCAGGCTCACACAGCTTTCACACATGTGTTATGTATTGAAGTCATTCTGACATGATGTTTTCTTTCCCATTAGAGGGGAGTACAGTTTTTTTTTTAAAGTACAAAATATACACCTCCCCCCCCGGAAAAAGCAACAGGCAGAGGGAGCAGCCGGGCTGATGGCTGCCCTGGGCGAGCAGTGACTGCTCAACTGGGAGCACCAGCTGCAGTGAGAGCTCAGTGAGCTTTGTCCTGGGACATGTGCAATTTCTGTCTCTTGCCCTCAGTGAGGTCTGGATGTCCAGCACTGTGCTCACGACCAGACCCAGCAAAGAAATACTACCTATGTCTTTCAAATCTTTTAATCTTAGGATTATTTGAAAGGCAGAGAGACAGAAGGACACACACACACAAGGCAGAGAGAGAGCATCTGCTGGTTCACTATGCAATGGGCCAGGCCCTGGCTAGGAACCAGGAGCTCCATCTGGGTCTGCCACTGGGGTAGAGAGAGCACTTGGCTCTCCCAGGAGCATCGGCAGGGAGCTAGATCAGAAGCAAGCAGCCAGGACTGAAACTGGCACTCGGGGCAGATGCTGGTGTCAGAGCCACAATGGTGACTCCACGACGCATATCTATTATTTTGTTCTTCAGCTAAAATGAATCTGTACACACTCATTTTTATATAAGAATTTTCTGTTGGTATAGTTTACTATCTTCCTGTTTTTAATACTATTATAAAGAACACTTTAAAAAATCGTGATAAAATTTTAACATATAACATCACACATTTAACCGTTCCAATTCAACTGTGAAAATGTTCTGCCTGGCCATAGGTAGCTTCTGGGAACCCACTGTTTCTAATGAGCTCAACAGAAATATATCACCACCTTCCAACACTGAAGTGAAGGAGCTGGCCTAGGGTGAGCCACACAGCGAGTACTTTGGTGGTCAGATCCCAACAATGCAATATGCTATATAAAAATCCACAGTTCTGGTTTCTCTGAACAAATGCTGTCTCAACAAGAACAAGCCTGGTAGGTCAGGGGTCTATATTCCGCTGTTAACTCCAGCTGCAGTCCCTGGGCCCAATCTTCTGTTTGTGAGGGTCCCCAGTGTTTCGAGAGCCTAGTTGTCCCAAGACGGCCTGTGCCTGGCAGGCATGGAGTTCACGCCCCTCCTGCCAGCTCGGAGCCCCTGGGACGGCAGAGTGCTGTGCTCTAGGCTGGTGGCCCTGTTCAGTTGATGGGGATCCACACCCTTCAGCAAGGCCTGTTCCATCAGACCTTGGTTCCAAGATCACCACCTGAACAGCTTCTCTAGTCCTACCCTGAGCATTTCCTGTGCATCACTGCAGCTCTCTGCAACGATCCCATGCATCTGGCACGCAGGATCCACCTCTCCACAGAACGTACGCTGGAGGAGGAGGGCTGTGTTTCCCCTCTTCATGCCATCTCCCCTGGGCCTGGGACGGCTCCAAATAAACATTCTGATGAGTCTAAATGAAACGAGTGAGCAGACAGTCTGCAGAGCACCCCGAAGGCGTGCAGCACACTGGCCCCCATCCCGCGCCACTCTCCTCACGCTGCGGCAAGAGGAGCGTGGGCAGGAGAGGGCTTACCTTTCATTCTCCTGCTATTAATTTGTTCAGGTTTTTGTTTCAGCGAAATTACACCTGCATTTCATTTCCCTCTATTTATTTTGTTCGTTTTCAATGACCTTGAGCAACTAATTCAAGCATTTAAATAGACAAAGGGGGAGAGATGATGGCTTCCAAGTCCTCAATATCCCTAGCATTATTTATGCCGTAGCAACAATCTTTCCAGAAGAGCTATAGTCATCAGGCAGCAGCTCTCTAGCAATTACGAGATGATGTGAAAGCGGCTGTTACTCTGATGTTCACTGAGGGATTATCAGAGACCAGACTAGTCTGAGCAAGGCGGGAGTTCTCACCAGGAACAGGATTCCATTTCAACTCATAAGGCACACAGATACTCACTTATCTCTATGAAGAGCTCATTGATGTTTATTGCATCTTTCGCGCTGGTCTCTACAAAAATTGCATGAATGGAGTCAGCATAGTCCTTAGCGTCTCTCTCCAGGACTTCTCTGGAAGGCAAACACTGCAAGTCAGCAAGCATATCCAACACAGTCTTCATATTACCCCACCCAGCTAGCACTGACCAGGTATATATTGATCCGGGATGTCCTGCACGGCAATGGCTGCAGCCCTGACCACGTTGGTTCCGGTCTTCATGTTACCCCCACCCATCTAGCATTGACCGTGTATATTGACCCAGGATGTCCTGCACGGCAATGGCTGCAGCTCTGACCACATGGGTTCCAAGGGCATCCCTCCTTTGGTTAAAAAACAACACCTCAAAACTCAGAACCACCAGCAATGCAGCTAAGCTAATGGAAAGCCAGGAAAGCTTCCCCTCCAAATCAAAACACAAAACAAAAATCCACACAGCCCTGGCCTTGGGAATCATGCAAGTGACACAGAAACTGCCAAGAAATGTGCTAGGTGTATTCAAGTATTCTATGTCATGGGAGCCTGGGGCTGTACTGATTTCAGATAATGTCAAGTGCGATGCAACCAATGTTTAAGTAAATTACACACCTGTCTACATAAATAATATAATTAACTCCAAATACTCAGAATCTCAATTTTAGTTTGAAACTTCAGCACAGCAAGCATATGACAAAAGAAATTTTTCAATGTCAGAGATAAAATAAAAGCGAGGCTGATGGTGGATATTGTTCATTAAGAAAAGGAGCCCACATCGGCCCGGCAATCTCACGTTGTAATAACTTACCTCACATCGATAAGATCACACTTATTTCCTGCAATGGCAACTACAATATTAGGCGGCCCATGCTGCCGAAGCTCTCTCACCCAGTTCTTCAACGTGGAGAACGTCTCCTGTAACAGAGCAGAGCAGCTGCAGACCTGAGCAACCCAAAGAGAACCTGGCAAACAGCCCAAAGACTACTGCACTTGGTCTTACTTCCTTCGTGATGTCATACACGATGATGGCTGCGGCCGACCCTCGATAGTACATCGGCGCCAAGGCACGGAACTGGAGGAGGGAAAATGAAAAACCATTGGGGAAACTGGTTAAATATGCGATTTTTACTAGACTTTTTCAGCCCATTATCCAGGCACAAAAGGTAATGTTTCTGTTAAGCCAAAGATGATGACATGATGCTTTAAAGCAAATGAACCAGTAATTACCAAAGGCAACAACTTTTAATGTAACACTGAAATGTCTCTTAGAAGATAGTTTAGAATACAGTTTTATAGGAATTAAATATGGTGCTATAAACAACTGTTTCAGCTAAAAAGGCTTTTTAATTGAACTCAATGTTATAATTCCTAAATTCATTTGTTCAATAGTTCTTTAAACTTTGGCTTCCCGAACTATCAAGGAGATAAAAATAATGCTATAAATGGTTCTCCAGAGGAGTGGCTGCATTTAGATGTCATAAAGAGAATCCTGGAATGGAAATGCTGATGGCCCCACGGAAATGAGCGTGCATTTGCATTCCCCACTTGGATGAGCTTGCAACTCGATGCTGTGATTATCACCACACGCATGGCCATCGCCAAAGGCCGGGCAAGTCTCTCATTTCATTTACATGGGTTTAACTCCTTATCAGGTTTATCTCACTGTCACCTGCTCTCCCTTGCCCCACTACACACAACACAGGGAAGAACAGAGAGAGGAAAAACCGTTTAAATAGCCAGGGTGATTGGTAGGTCATTTATCGAGTTCCTGGGAGATGACCTAGTGTGAGCCTACGTGAAGTCTGACTTCCGCCCTGACCCTACATGTCCTGCTCCGCTTCTGCTGCCAAGCACAGGCAGCAAGACTTGTCATCACCAGAACACAACTGGTACAGTTAAGCAATTCACAAACACTGTGTGTTTTGTGAATTTAAGATTTATTTATTTTTATTGGAAAGGCAGATATACAGAGAGAAGGAGACACAGACAGAAAGATCTTCCATCTGCTGGTTCACTCCCCAAGTGGTTGCAATAGCCAGAGCTGAGCCAATCCGAAGCCAGGAGCCCCCTCTTGGGCCTCCAAAGCCAGTCCAGGGTCCCAAAGCTTTGGGCCGCCCTTGACTGTTCTCCCAGGCCACAAGGAAGAAGTTAGATGGAAAGTGGAGCAGCTGGGATTAGAACTAGCGCCCATATGGGATCCTGACGTGTGCCACTAGGCTACTGTGCTGTGCCAGTGTTTGGGAACTTCTTATCCAACAAGTTTACTAATCTTTTCACTTTAAGCTCCTCTATTAACTTGGTTTTTTAGAACAAAAGTGAAATGATGACTGCTGAATAGAAGACAGCTTGTCTATTTAATGCACAATTTGATCTCAGGGCTTAGCACCTGGCACACTGTGGGTAACCAAGAACTGGTGATTGCCTGAATGAGAGCTGGATAAGTGTGGGGGCAGTCAGACCACACGCTAGACCCCCACACAGAAAGCTTTATTAGGCTTTCTGAGAAAACTGCCTGCCTCTGCAGTGAGAGCCTGCTGATTTCCAATAAAATTATCTGTTTGGTTTTAGAAGAAAACAGAGGTTGTAAGCAAGAAAGAGCTATAGAAAAGGAAGCGACCTTATTAGATAAAAAAGACATAATGTGCTGAATTCATTTCCACGGCCTAAGAGAAAAAAAGTCGGGGAGCAGAGCTGGGGCACGGACACGCGCTCTCCTTTCCCATGCACTTACGTTGACAAGGCTCTCCACCGCATCTGCTTTCTCGTAACACCAATTTGCCAGGTCAAAGCCACACAGAGAAAAGCACAAGCTGTGCGCCCATAAACGCCCCCACACGGCAGGCAGAGCGGGCTCGTCCTTCTCTGTGACCCTCATACAACCTGTCCCTGCATTTTTATGACCAACACTGCCTCATCACACGCTTGCGGTCCGCATCCCTTACGAGTCCTTGTTCCAGCCTTCGTTTTGCTACAGTACCCTTGTTTAAGCAATGCACTGCTGGGATCAGCCTTCTGTCCAAGTGATGACCTCTGTCTTCCAAGTGGAATATTCCACTCCGTTACATTTAATGTACATGCTGGTATCTAAATTCTTCTTTTCCTCTCCTTTTGCAATATTTTTTAGTATTTAAATATTAACTCATCAATTAGCTTTGTAGCTGTAATTTCTTGTATTACTATTTAAGTGGTTGCCATGTAACAACAATACACATTTCCTGCAGTCTAATAGTTTAACACAAGCTGCTTCATGTAAAATATCAGGGTCTAGAAAGAATTTCCTTTATGCCCCCTTCCTCTACGCTGCTATTGTCAAACGTTTTAAATCTATACACACTATAAACAGTGCAACTCGATGTACTTTTTGAATTTAAAGCAACAGAGCAGAAGAAGGAGCCACCCTACGTTCAGATTAGTACTTCTCCCCTTGGATGTGAGTTGCCACGTTGTGTCATTTCCCTTTAGTCTGCACAGTTCTCGGGGGACACTGCTGCATTCTGCTTTGCTTTTCTGAAAACATCCTTACTTCGATTTCGTATTAGAAAGATGCTTTCCAGAGCCTGACAGGGTCTAGCTTTCAGCACTTTAAGCAAACTCCTGAACCCCAGGTCCCTGACTTTCCCAGAGGAGTCAGGGAGAACTCGCAGCATGTTCTATATATATTTTACGTATATATATACGTATATATATGTGTATATATAAAATATATATACACGTATATATATGTGTAAACACCTAGGGGAAGTCTCCTGGGGGAGAAGGTTATTCTGGCGTACAATTAGAGGTGCACAGTTCAAGACTGATGGCCGCAGGAGTCTGGCTGCTGTGGACCATGTGCCTTTTCACTCTAGAGGTTTTAAGACGTTCTCTTCCTGTTTGGTTTCAGCATCTGATGAGGCACCAATGTGGTGTTCTTTAGATTGGTAGGCTTGCTAATCTGTATGGATTTGCAGTTTGTTTCACCCAATCTTTCAGATCTGTTTTGGATCCCCACTATCTGGTTTTCCAAGTCACGAATGACACCGTCAGGCTGCGTTTCTTTCTGAGACAGCGAGGCTTTGCTCCTGCTCTGCCAGTTGCTCTCTTTTCCCCCAACAAGTTTATCAGGCATCCAGTGAACTGCTTGTCTTTGGTGTTGCAATTTTCTGTTTTAATACTTGCATCTGACTCTTCATTAGTTCGTGTTCTGGTGAGATTTTTCCTCTACAGTTAAGACTACTTGTATTAATCATCTTTAACATACATATACGTAAAATATATATACACGTATATATATGTGTAAACACCTAGGGGAAGTCTCCTGGGGGAGAAGGTTATTCTGGCGTACAATTAGAGGTGCACAGTTCAAGACTGATGGCCGCAGGAGTCTGGCTGCTGTGGACTTGACAACCACGGAGTGTGCAGGATGACCACAGGTGTGTGAGAAGTCCTCCTGACTTTTGGAAGTAGCCTCCTAGTGAGAACTGCCTGCCAAGGCCAGGCCCCAGACCTGGAGACCTCTCATCAGGGTCAGCCCCCAGAGGTGGGGATTAGACCCTGCTCCTGCGGTCTTGGGGAGGTAAATCTTGTCTCAGTCAGTCCAAAACAATGTGTTTCTGCTACATCTTTTACCATCTCCAACAAGTGTTTTAAATTCTACATCTGCAAATCCTAGACTCACTGCTGTATTCTCTTCAGCTTCCTCACGGATGTGCAGTCGTTCTGATCGTAGCTCACTGGACACTGACTGGCTTCTACTACCCTCTCTAGAGTGTTCCATCTCTGCTAATAATGCCAGATTGGCTTTGCTATGGTCAAGGCATGTCTGCTCAGACATGGCCTTTAACTCATAATGCATGTGCCCTTTTGGTATTCCAATGAAAAACCCAACAGGTCTACCAGCCTCTAATCTGGTAAGATTGGACCCATACTCCAAACTTGAGCTCTGCTATAATGGACAGCAACTGCAATGTCTGTTCAGTCTGGCTACCCTTCTAGTTTTGGTTTTATGATTTTACTCCTCTGTGTTCAGAATTTGGGAGTCAACTACAGACTTGAAGACAAATTTAAACAGATCTTGGGGTTTGGTTTTCTTCCTCACTGAATCCGAATCTTTTCTGGTATTTGTCTCCTTTTCAAAATTCCCTGCTGTTGTGGTTCTCCCAAGCTCTGTTTTAAATGCCACAAGCCCAAAGGATAGTCCTGGTGACCCTGTGCCATGTGACCTGGGAGTGCCCACCAGGAGAAGCTGGACACATGTGGACCTCACCCGACGTAGCTCCCCCTTAGGTTCTTACTGCATTGGGTTGCTTCGCAGTACCGAGTTTAGATACTCATGAACTTGTCATCTGGGGGAGAGCCAGTCCCTGGTAAGTCACTCTGCTGCCATTAACAGTCCGTATCTCTCTGGTGTAGAGAAATCAGGTAAGAAAGGAAGTAAAAAGTATCTGAAGAGACTCAGAAGATGTCACATCTCTGCTCCAAAGCTGGCTCCACGTCTAGGGCAGCCATCACTTTCTGGTAAGGGGCAAACAGTTCACCCCTCAGCATGCGGATGTGGTCTCCCACAGGCCTCAGCGCTGCTACGTGTGAACTGAAGAGCACTTTTCCATCCCAGCAGAACTGACATGCCAGAACCAGACAGAGGGCCAGACTCGGCCCATGGGCAGATGTCGACAGCCCCACCTCGACACGGTGCTACTTCACTGCACACGTTTCTGAGTTTCAACCTGAGAACCACCCGCTGTGTGACTACTGTGACAATAAACACATCCATGTCATTGTGCACTTTGTGGAAATAGTCAGCAGGAGACTAATGAAGATGCAGGATTTTCACTGAGTTTGAGATGCAAGGCTGAGAGGGTTTTTGTTTTTAAAAATCTGTATTTTGAAAGACAGACAGACATAAACAGACAGATTTTTGGCCTGTTGTTTTGTTCCCAAATGACCTCAACAGTCATCGTGGGTTGGAAGCCTAGACCTCATCCGGGTCTCCCGTGTGGGTGGCAGAGGCCCGATAACTTGTGTCAGCTGTTGTCTCCCACAGTGTGTGCCAGTGGGCGGCTGGATTCTAAGTGGAGGAGATGAGGCCTAAAC